TATCTCGGGTGTTCATACAATATACATATATATGTGTGTGTGTGTGTGTGCGCGTGCGTGCGTGAGTGTGTGTGTGTGCGCGTGCGTGTAATAATATACTGTGTGCATTCAATTTTCTAAATCTACTTCCTTGTTAATTCTCGTATTTCTGAAATATTTCTGAAAGCATAAAAAAAATTATCATAAATGTCGGAAAAATTAGATAAAACGTAATTTGAATCTGTCATTATGTAAACCCTTACGAGGTATAGAATGTCGTTTCACCATAAATAAACATATGTATTACGATGAAGAACATTTCACATCATATATCGCTAATTTAATTGTCTATTTGACATTTATCAAAAATTTTACATAAGAAATATAATAATTATTATATAATAATGCAACTATTCACACTTATCGATATATATATATATATATATATATATATATATATATAATTAAATATATAAAGTTAATGTTGTACGTTAAAGAATTAATATCTCATATTTTCCCCATGACTTTTCGACTTTTAAATTGCACGTCCACGATTGAAAAGCAATCGAATACAAACTATTTGCCCTTTAAAAAGAAATTTTCAATTATTGTCATGCACCTGTGAAAGACTTAAAAATGAAAGTAAACAAACATATCAATATATAATATATATTATATATTATAATAATAAGAATATAATTAAAGCACAAAAGAAATTTGAAATCTTCTTGCAGGCTTTCAAAAACAATCACGACGATTAATATAATGAATTTTATTTAAGGCTTTTCCAATGGCTACGTTTTATAAATGTACTTGGCTATTATTTTCATCAAATTTCTTTTTCATTTTTATTTTGACACAGAAATTGGCTGTTATTAATTATAACTGACTATTTATTTATAGTCGTGCAATATTTTTATTATTGTTTTTAAATATTATCACCGAAATGATTGACTTTGATTAAATAATTGAAAGAACAAGTGTAAATGTTTCGTTAATCGAAAATCTAATGTTATAATAGCAAAATTATTGATAAAAATCGTCAAAAAAGTTATATAGCCCAAGTCTGTTTCTTGTGCTTTAGTAATGTTAAAACATATACATCACTTTTACTATGTGTATTATATTGTATAATTACACCTGCAGTAGCAAAATCGATATAGTAAAACATTCGAAGAATTCACGCTAATGATTTTGTTACAACAGAATTACAAAACACGAAATATTTAAAAATTATATTAATAAAATAACAATAAACGATTCTATTTAAGATGAAAACTCTTTATGTGTGATAATTGTGTACATATCATTCGCAGATAAGGTTAATGATAACGTGATTATTAAGCGATTCATGGCGTATAAAAATATTTATTAAATGAAACTGAAATTCCCAATCAATTAACCCTTCTATGTGTGTCTATATCACGTAAATTATACACACACGCAGTCCGAGTGTATGCCCGTGAGTGTATAATGCAGATAAAAAATTATATTAAAAAGAAGAAAAAAAAATGTATTATGTATTTTTGCTGTTATTCTTTTTTATTAAATCACCGATTATAACAATCCTATCCAAATTATTTATACCACTAATTTATCCTCATACTACTATTGTCTAACACTTTTCTTTTATATTTTTTTTTTAGAAATTACATGTTATTATTTAAAAATATGAAGACACCATAATCTTATATAATAACAACAAACATATTCCGCCCACTAAAAAGTAAAAGTTTTCTCAAGTATTTTTATAACTAAACAATTGTAACTGATAAATAGGAAGTTTTTTTTTCTTTTTATCTTTTTTTCTTTTTTAGAAAACATACAAATATAATACTGTAAAAACAAAATGTAATATCCTTTTCGCTAGCATAAATAATATGAGCTCTTACATTTCTTGTACATAAAATCAAGTAAATTTTACTTCAACGGAATTGAAGAAATTCAAGGCATGAATAATATTTATGAATATTCTTTCATCTATATAATATAATACCAAGACTTTATTAGATAACCATTGTATTCTATTCCATTGTAATCATTGAATATTTTTATTTCATAATCTTTCATATATATTTCAGATATATTTTCAACATTTATATTCAAATAAATTTCCAAAAAATTTTATCAAATATTTTATCTGATAAATGAAAATTGTTATGTATACATGGTTGAAGGTATTAGACGATAAATGACAATTTTGTATATAATAAACAAAAATTATATCTAATATAATGATATTTTCTATATAACTTTAATATTTCACAATAGAATGCAAATATTTCATGATAAAAATGGCTATCTTGAAAATAAATGTACTATGATAAGAGTATTATTTTGATAAATATTTTTTAGCCGAAACACGTAATTACTACTACGATATTCATATAATATTGATAGAATCCAGGGAAAACATCATCAACGCGCCTGGTATTTCCTAGTAAAGATATTCCTAGTTGGTACACCACATTCAATGAAATATATATATATATATATATATATATATATATAGCATAAAGAATGAATTATGAAACTAGACATTAATCAGAGCTTAAAAATAATAATTCAATAATATAAACTGAAAACAAATTTATTAAATTACGACGCCAGTAGCATATTAATTACTGTCACGATCTCAAGATAAATCAGAAAACAATGGGATCGACCGATTATTTTTACAAATTTCTTACATTTTATAATAGTAAGTTAGACATATATGTCTACAAAAAATTATAGCATAAACGTGTCTACATATAAAGCAATGACATTAAAAAAAATATTGCAATTGAATAATAGTATTATCATCATTATCTGCAATTTCTTAAAACAAATTCAAATTAAAAGTTACGTCTGAATAATTGCTATATTGTTCTATTGTTACATTATATAAGCTAATTCAAACTATAGTAACATTGCATAACAATTAATTTTATAATCTATTTTTTAATTTAAAATTAATTAAAGCAGAATTTAGGATAATTACATAGAATAAATAAATATATTTATATTTATAATTCGAAATTATTGTCAAGGGAATGTATTCTATAATTTTGGCCAAAGATCAGATCAGACATAAGATGTCGATAGATTTCATCCTTAGTGAGTATAAAGTGACTGTTCACTTCTTAATGATAAATAATACATTAATGATTCATTGCATAAATAAATTGTAATTAAAATATTTACAATTGTAATTTAGAAGAATGTTTGGGAATTTAGTATTGTAAATAGTTATATGTATTATTATATATAGTAATATTATATTATATTATATTATATTATATGTTGTAATCTTAATATATTATAGTAATGTCAAATTTTTTATCAGATTCATTATTATATTTATTTCACTTTACCAGTAATTTAAAATATTTTGAAATTCTAATTTTCATACGAAAAAAATGTTTTAATATAAATGTTTGATTTACTATTTTTGAATTAATAAAGCACGCTAGAAGCTACCAAATATTGTAAAATGAAACTCGGAACGATTAAGTGGATAATAAATGATATTTATTAAATGCATGGAATACTGATGTCAGTTTACGTTAGCTGACGTGTCATACTTTAACCGAGATAACCTCGAAAATTATAAAAATCAAAGTGTACATATTGATTATTTAAATTGTGTATTATAGGACAATTTTGAGAAAGATGACTGAAAATAACTTTATTCCTCCAAAATCACCAAAGGATCTTTGTTTTAATGAATTAGATTTTACACAGGTGATAAATTACAAATAACTTTTCTAATCTATTCAATAATTGTACGTACTAATATTACTTTTTTATATATGAAATTTATGCTGTATTTTATTAATTACAGAAATTATTTGACGCTGACAAATTTCTGCAAGAACACAGAAAAAATGTTAGTCTGGAAAAAATGAGAGACGATCTTGGTATTTATTTAAAAATACTTAGATCGGCTATGATAGAACTTATAAATAAAGATTATGCCGATTTTGTTACTCTTTCTAGTAATTTAATTGGATTAGATAAAGCTATTAACAACTTAGAAACTCCTTTAGGTCAACTAAAGGAAGAAATCATGGTTGGTCTTATTAAATTTTTATTTTCATATAGAAAACTGTGTTATAATACTATTAAAATATTTTAAGATTAATTTAAATTAATAATATTAATTTATAGCAAATTAGACAATGCTTAGACGATACAATATTAGAAATGACAAATAACTTGGATAAACATAAAGAAATCAGAGAGAGAAAGCAATGTGTAAATAGTTTAATTAAATATCATAAATCAATATCAAAACTGTCCAATATTCTTACATTATGCGATACACCCGAGAATGTTATAAAACCAGATGTTTTGGAACGTGCTGCAACAGAATTCAATCAATTGAAATTTCATACAAACCGATGTCAATCTGAGCTTACAACTGAACAAATTAATGTACGTGTTTAAGAATATAATATTATATAATGGAGAATTTTAAGTTTATACAGAATTGTGATTATATTTTTATTATTTGAACTATTTTCTATTCCATGTAGGAAATTAATGGATTAGATAAACGTCTTAAAACTCACTTGGACACGCTGCTTGTCACCTATGTCACTCAAAAGCAATCAGCATCATTAATTCGTTGTTTGAGAATTTATGTAAGTCTTGATAAAATAACGGATGCCGAAGAGATAATAAGGAAAAAAATTATCGTACCTGCTGTTGAAAATATCATTAGTGAATATAGTTTTCAAAATGATCCTCTAGGATTGAATGGAACTTATAAAAAATTAGAACAAATATTGGATAGTACATTAAGTGAGCTTCTAGAAATAACACAAAAAACAAATAGGTAATTTAGATTTGAAATAGCTTCATAAAATTAAGTAATATAGCCATTTAAATTTAAAAATAACATATTTATTTAGAATATCAGTAAATGGCTTTAACTTCTTAGTAAATAGTTATTGGCCCGAAGTTGAACAGAGAATAGAAGATTATTTACCAATTATATTTGCACCAGGAAATCCAGAATTATTTCACAAAGTGAGTTAATTGTTTTTCAAACATATTGACCTTTGGAAACATAATTCATTAAGCTGTATAAAATAATTGATTCGAATATTGATTAGTTCAAATTTTTAAATAAATATGCATGGTACGAATTTTCAGCAATATATGGAATCTTTGCACTTTCTTCTAACCCTAGAGAAAAAATGTGATACAATAGAGTCCATAAATCAACTAAAAAATCATCCTCAATATGAGCGATTTTTAAAAAAATGGAATTTACCAGTATACTTCCAAATACGATTTCAAGAAATAGCAGGAACCGTTGAAAGTATTCTTTCTGCAAATATTACGTCAGCCTCCATTCGAAACAATACTAATTCAATCAGTGCCGACAGTTTTACTTTACATGGAACGTGTATCCTCTGGGACTGTATCCAAAGGATTTGGGCAAAAGAGGTTTATCTCCCTCAACTTCTTCATAGGTACGAATAATTTTAATACATTTTTTCATAAATTTAGATATTGTGGTGTTACAGTCCATCTTTTTTTAAAATTTGTTTATAATATTTCATGCATAATCGTTAATTAATATTGAATAATTAAATTTTAGATTTTGGAAACTGTGCCTTCAATTATGTTCTAGATATCAAAAATGGTGTCGATCTTCGTTAAAACAGGTATGGATTCTAATATTGCTAAACTATTAATATTGAAATAAATTGTTCGTTGGTTGTTATTTATATCACAGGCCTGGCCTGTTGTAAAAGTAAATGAGACCAGTCATAATTCAGGACCAGAAAATTCAGAAAGACTTGAATTTCTGGTTGGATTATATACAGATACAGAGAAAATATCTGCAAAAATATCTCACTATACAGAGTTTGTTGATAAAGTCGAAAACTTAAGTCCTAGTATAATTAATTTATTACATGGTAAGTACATTCGTTAAAAATAAATAATTTAATCGAGGAAAACTTTTATGTATAAAGATTTGGTAAAATAAATGGAGCTTTTTTTTTTTTTTTATTAATAATAAAACAAACATGTGTCTCGAAAATTTGTAAAAAGTCGTAATTTTGCAAACACAATTTGAAGGGTAATTTATATTATATATATTATTTTCCAAAATTTCTATTAAAATTCTATAGTAACTGATGAAAAATTAGAAAAATTATATAAAATTATATAGCTCATGGTTAAAAATTACATAGTATGAAATTTCTAAGTATAATTTTTAAGTTATAATTGTTTATCATAATTAATTTTACCATTTTTATTTTACATTCAAAGAATTAATTAAAAAGTTTATGCTCAATCATTTAATGTACATATTTTTCTTATGTTGATATGAAAAATCATTACACGCATCAACTACATATTAAATAATGACTAATTTATAGATTGCATGAAAGAAACAATAAAAGATTTCGAAGACTGTTTACCCCTCATTACGCAGGAAATAGTTAACGAACTTCTTCGATATAGTATGACACATTTACGACAAATTAGTGACATTCCAAGACTTTTTAGACGAACAAATAGAGAAGTTCCAACGAAGCCCTGCGCCTACGTTAAAAGAGCTTTGGATTTCCTGATCACCTTTCGTGAGAATTATAAAAATATCATAAAACAAACTATTCATCACTGGCTCGTATTGACATTAACAACCTTGACTCAGCAGTAAGTCTCGAAAATTAAATTGAAAAAACATATGTAAAATACTTTAACTTAAAATTAACAGTATTGAGTATGGGTTATAAGTTTATTAAAATTTAATTATTTGAATTGTAATCTAACAATGTCACAGAGGATGATATAAATTATCCATAATTTCTATTAAATTTATTTGCGGATTTTTAAGAAATTCCCATATTCATTTTGTAATTGTCTAACGAAAAAAGAAAAAAAATTAATAAATGACATCGAAACTTCCAAATGTAATTTGGAAAATTCGAAAAAACGTTCGAAAATACAAACTCATTCCATCCATAAAGGTTCAAAAATTTTCATATAAAAATGAAAATTTCATTTCAAATAAGTTATACTCAAAATTTTTCCATCTTATAGAATAACATATCATTTATAGACTTCTGCAATGTTATATTCCAATACTTATACATAAAGACTATATTACTTATTGCAAAACTTTATAAAATAAATTTTCATAATGTTCAGCTATCTTACATCTACAATAAATTTTCTTTTTTACTTTACGCTATGAAATATTGAGAAAATGTACAATATATGTTAAGCAATGTATCAAATAACATTGATTATTTTGAAACAGATACATGTCATTAGTCATAGATGTATTAACATCGGTACAAAAAACGGAAGAAAGCTTAAGGAGATTAAAGAAAATTAGAGACAAAACAGCTGGAGTTTTGACTTCTGAAAATCAAGGAATAAGTGACGATGAAAAAATTCACATTCAATTATTTATCGATGTTACGAGTTACATACAAATGGTAATTATAAATAATATATCATAATCATTAATACATCATTGTATCGTGAAAATATATTTTTCGAATTATTTTAGATTAAAGAATTAGACGTAGAAGAAGATAATATAGAAAACTTGAAAAAATTGTTAGAAGTCGTAGAAAGTGCTACAAAAAATAAAGTTGACCTGAAATAATGTATAGTGAAATTAATTTGTAAAGAAAAAATGATACGCCTTTCGTAACCAAATAATTGTAAAGGTTCGTATATTTAAAAGATGAATAGTTCAAATAGATTTTCTTTTTCTATTTTATAATAATAAATAATAAAGCAATATTACGATCTAAAGAATAAAATTCAGACTAAATTAACTAAGCATTATTATATTAGATTATTTTATTTTAGATTTATTTTTTCAAAACGAAATTCAAAATTTAAACAACTATTATGTTAAAAATCTCTGACGTTGCGATATAAATAAATTACACTTGGTTGAGCTTAACTTAATAAACCAATGGGGTAGCATGCAAATATATATATATATATGGGAGCTGAAACCAAAAACAAAAACTTGTAAGCATATCTCTAATTTCAGTTTTTTTTTTTTTTTTTTTTTTTTTGCAGCGTTTAGTATGATAAAAAAAAGTGTAGCTATATTATCGTATGAAAATCGTAAATGAAAATAAAGTGTTTGCCAAGGGAAAGGTCATACATTGGTTCGATAAACGAGACCAACAATTTTAAAAGAAATAAAAGAATATGAATACGAATGACACATTAGAGAAACCCTAAATCATCGCATTTACTGCACGCGCTTCTCTACATCGTCACACGTACATACTCAGTTTATTTCGTTCATCCTTTATAACAAGATTAGGAAGTCCCTCGAGTAATCACTTCGTCGTTACTAAGCAGTGCTGGTCCATATAAAGAATCCCGATAAACTCGTGCAGAGCGCAGTCGCTGCTTAGCTTTCGAGTACCACTGTGCTTGCAGGCACACGACAGGCACACTCCGACTTGTGGAAAAAGCTTGCTCACAATGGTGGTGAACTTTAAAGTATTTAAAAAATGCTCACCAAACAGCAAGATTGCCGTATACCTCGGCAAACGTGACTTCATTGATTATCTATCAGGCATCGAGCCCGTCGACGGTGTTGTTCTTCTCGATCCAGAATATGTCGCCACCCAGCGGAAGATTTGGATACAGCTGGTCTGCACTTTTCGTTATGGCCGCGAGCAAGACGAGGTAATGGGTCTCAACTTCCAGAAGGAGCTGTACCTCGTCTCCGAGCAGCTCTATCCCAATGTGAAGAAAATGGAGCATAATCTTACGAAACTACAGGAACGTCTGCTAAAAAAATTGGGCCCAAATGCCGTTCCGTTTACGCTCGAGTTTGTTCAAACTGCGCCATCTAGTGTAACATTGCAACCCGGGGAGGACGAAATTGGAGAACCCTGCGGAGTAAGCTACATTGTGAAAGTTTACGCAGGTGAAACCGAGAATGACGTTACCCACAAGCGCAGCACCGTCAACATGGGCATTCGCAAAGTCCAATACGCCCCTACAAAACAGGGCAGACAGCCGTGCACCGTCGTACGCAAGGATTTCTTGCTCAGCCCTGGGGAACTCGAGCTCGAGGTCACTCTCGATAAACAGCTCTACCATCACGGTGAAAGGATTGCCGTGAGCATCTGCGTGAGAAACAACAGTAACAAAATAGTGAAAAAAATGAAAGCCCTGGTGCAGCAAGGGATTGACGTCGTCGTCTTCCAGAATGGTCAGTTCCGTGCCGTGATCGACTCCGTGGAAACTCAAGATGGATGTCCAATTAATCCGGGCTCGAATCTTCAGAAGGTCTTGTATCTCAAGCCCCAGTTGGAAAATAATAAGGAACGCAGAGGTATTGCTTTGGATGGGCAATTGAAAGGCGATAATAGTGAATTGGCATCCAGCACTCTCATAACTTCGCCGGACGTAAGAGATAACTTTGGTATAGTCGTATCCTATGCTGTTAAAGTTAAGCTGTATTTGGGAGCATTGGGAGGCGAATTATCAGCCGAGTTGCCATTCATACTCATGCGTCCAAAGCCAAGTGACAGATTTAAATTAATTACCGAAGATAGCGTAGCTATCGAAGACATCCCGCTAATGAATGAGAAGGAAAAGCAAATTATTAGTTGAATTTACTTTAAGTATTAGGATTGATTGAGATGCGAGTATAAAAAATAATTGTAGTAAATTGCGATTCTATTTTATTGATACTCTTCTTTAGAAGTTACAAAACTGTATTTCGATACAATTTTCTTTCACTTATATTTCACTTATCAATTACTTTCAAGAAAAAATAACTAAAAATTACGAATTCCTTTTTCAACGAACTTACACATCTTCTATTGTTTAGGAATTATGAAACCGTACTGCAATCATATATATTATTTTATTATTTATAGAGAAAGATCATAATTATATTAAGAGACTAAATTGTTGTATTTTAATATTCTAATTGTATAATATCTATCTACTTCAATAATTGTTCGAAAGCTTAACAAATTAAAGACATCAAAGATATTAAAAAGTCTAATATTGTATTTATAATATAATACACAAGTTGAGTAAAGTAGTTTTTGTAATTAATCATTGTCGGTAGAGTATTCATTGGCTTTCGTGTTAATTAAACAATAAATATTTACAATTATTTTGTAACTTTGACAACAGCATTTCTAATTAATCATTTTTATAATTAAAAACTTTCAAATTCCTTTTATTTTGATAATCAGCGCATTTTTCAATTTTTGGACTTTCCTACATAATTACCGACCGTATTTATATGCTTATAGTATTATTTTACGTTTAATCAATATAATTAAGTATCCTAAATAAACAAACATAAGCTATTTAAAAATAAAAATAAAAAAATTAAAAAAAAACAACAACAAAAACATTAAAATAGATATTGAAATATATTTATAGAACTTTAATAATAATAAAATTACATTATTTTTGTTATACATACAGCAAGTATATTATTCACAAGATCATTATAAGATCATACATTTGTAAATCTGAAAATAAATTCAACAAAAAATTAAAAAGTATTCCACATATAATGAAATTGATTTACAATTAACATTCATTATTATTTATTGTAAGATAAAAAATTTATTATGTAATGATATATCTTGTATATTCTAATACTTTGTTCAGCATTTTAAACTAAAGTATATGTGATATTTAATTGATCATATGATCTACGTGAACATTGAATATTATTTTAAATACGATGTGAAATATACAAATTGTAAAATATTATATGAAGATATTATATACAATGTAAAATAAATTCGAATTCAAGAAACAGACGTTGTTCATTTTGTATATTTAAAATTTAATGTGGGAGGGGGCGGGCTGGAGGTGTCGGCGTGGATGGGTATATGCGTGGATGCGTACGTACGTGCATGCGTGCGTGAAGATTTGTAACAAAAAAAAACCATTTAATATTAAATAAAAAAAAATACGTTAGAAAATTAATATTAATAAAGCTATATATTTTCTAATAATATAATTATTGTTATACCTTATGATAATAACTGTTTATTTAAATATGTTGTAAAACGAGAAAAAATTAGACTTGCTTAATAAAATTTTTATTGCTGAAATATATTTCGGCAGGCTTGAATCAATTTAAATTAATTTACTAATTTTTACGATTATTTATGTTAATTTCGTATATATTTAAATAAACTCCTTAAAAGATATCAAGAAATACAAATTTTAATAAAATAAGTGAACTAAGGATAAGCTATTGTAAATTGCACAATATTTGTATTATTTGTCAAAAAATTAATAGTAATAGAATCTTATAATAAATAGAACGAATCATTCCCAATAATTTATGATATTAACTAAATGAATAAGTATGTTTTATTTTATAGTTATGTAAAAAAATAATATGAATCAGTATTTATTTTTTTTAGTTTCGGTAGAATTTAGAATTTCTATAATAATCATGAATTTACAAATGTAATTATATTATGTATATAAATTTATTATTATTATAAAAATTATACAGGAAATGTAATTTAGATAAATATAGAATTTCTAAATATTACAACATCATAATACAAAATTGTCTTAAAAGTAATGCAATAATCACAAAGGGTATTATTATTATTACAATAAATATTTGTATTAAAATTGTTAAAAAAATATAAAGAATATCGTCATAATAAGAAATTGATTCAAAATGGATAAAAAAATAAGAAATTATATATAACGTCGTTAGAATTGACAAATATTTACATAATATCATAAAATGCATGTAAAATACACACATATTGTTTTAATATCTAGAAAAATTAATTTCATAATAAGTGTATCAAAATTACAATTATTTGAATACAGATGAATAGTGTTTTAAAAATATATTATGATTTCAATATGCAATACGAAATTGATTATATGGATTATATAAATAATTATGTTTTTACCTATAATAAATTGTATGAAATAAAAATTTTTATTACGCAGTGCCGTACAATAAATCGAAAGAAAATTTTGCAACTGATCGTTGAAAAAATTCTGTAGTCAACGAGATTTTATGTTTGTTTAAATTGAAAATAGTTAAATACGATGATTGCAGTTTTTTTCGAAGTATTAAACGTATTGAAATTGAATACATTTTTAGAAAAAAATTCTTGCCCTACCTTGATTAAACTTAAATATTTTTTATTTCTTAATGAATGTGTCCTATGATTATGTTATGTAATTAATTATTAAAGTGAAATTTTGAAAAGAAGACATTTTAATATCACGTAAGAAATTACATTTTAGCATGTTATCTCTAACCAATATACACGCATGTATATACATTTTAAAAAGGCATATATAACATGTATTTTACACTAAAAATATTCTTTAAGTTTTTTTTTTCTGACTATTTGATATAATTTTTAGTGTAATATAAATTTAGTTGGAAAAATACATTAATCGTTTCTTTAATATTATTTCAACTAATATTGCACAAAATTTTTATCCTGCTATTTAAAAGAAAATCTTTAAAGCGTACTACTAATGTTAGTAAATTAAACCCAAATTGTTTAAATGATTTTAAACGTAATACCTGATAACGGTTTTACTATTTTAGATAAGCTTTTAATCCATTCGCATTCAAATAGTTTGCAGATAAGGATTAAATGAAACCTCAATTAAAAATTTATCTTTATAGTACTCAACGTTACTTCGTTGGATTTTCATTCATCCCAATTACTATGAAGGTCAATGTAAGATTTCCATATTATTTGGAATTTCTAATATTGTGTTGAGCTTGAATTATATTGAATTATTATTATGCCATTCTGCGGCTACGGTACTACAATTACTCTACTTCATTATATTTTTAAGCCGCTTTATAATATAACATTTCAAGGCTTCCTGTAAGTCAAAATCATCTGTAAAAAGATACAAAAATTCAAAAGTTAGAGAACACAAGCGCCGCCAAGTATTTGTCCTTGACCGAATGCTTAATACTACACTATAATTTGAAGTTATCGAATAACTCACAACACAGTCTGACTTTGCTTTCTAAGTCTTCACAACCGCAAAGAAATGTTATTAGTAAAGTACTACATTTTCCGGATCACTAACTATATCTACTTCGTTTTCTTCTTTTTTTTTTTTTTTTTTTTTTTTTTTTTTTTTTTTTTTTTTTTTTTGTTTACGTCAATTATTTTTAAAACTGCTTTTTCCTAACAAAGCAAACTTTAGAATTTGTCTAAACTTTAGAAATTAATATAAAATGTTAAATGTTTATTAATTCACATGAAATTAATTGTACATAATTTACAAATATAATAAATAATTAAATAAATAGCTTTCATTGTCGATAAGGTATTCAATTGTTAATGAGCAGAATGTATTATTTAAAGACACTTTAGGTACGTCTACGAACATTTGACAAGTCAATAAAAATAAGAAACGTAATGCTTCTTTTATATGGGGGAATAATTAACAAAAAAAATAAAAATTTTTTTTACTAAAAATTATGAATACTTAAAAAAAGAAAAAAGAGGAATAATAAAATTCCAATCGCGTTAATGAAATTTTAAAGATAATCTTTTACCTGCAACTTAAGTTATGTATTTTGTCAAAGTAATTTCCTTTAGATTTAAAAAAAAAGAATGAAAAAGACTCTATGAGAAAAGAAAAGAATAAAAATTATATTAAATTATAAATTCTTTATAAAAAACTTATATATTGTATGTAATTTAGTGTGCGATCTATATACTATAAAGTAAGATAATTTAAATTACAGATTTTACGAAAATTATTTTTTCAATATATAAATTCTTATCAAGTCGTTTTTTTTTAAAATTTTACATGCAATTATAAACAATTTTCTAATAATCTTGCGTAGGCGCCTGTGCGTTTATATACATTTTTATTTATATGCCTGCCTGCCTCTGTGTGTGTGTGTGTGTGTGTGTGTGTGTGTGTGTGTGTGTGTGTGTGTGTGTGTGTCTGCTTATTCTCTAGTATTTTAACCCTAAAATATCACTAGTCTAAGTGCCTGTATAATATCAATCATTATACTATAAATAAATTTTCAATTATTAGCAACATTATTTCTGAAATAACAATTCAGTTGAACAACCGTTTCTTTCTTTGGAAATTATTTATTTCCTTGATATACATTATTTTTATAAATATTAAAATATATTTCTGCTGAATATACTCTAACTACAAGACTACACTCGCCTCTTTATTTTTAGGAGTTTCCCGGCAGCGTAAACAAAATTCTTAAGAAAACTGTTACATAAATGACAGTTTTATTTTAAAAATATATTATTTAATTCTGTTTATGCAGTAAATCATGCAAGTCATTATATATATTTTAGTCGAAGTGTTTATATGCATAATATTGTATAAAATTTCACTATACATAATATAAATGACTGACGCACTTTATTTATGAGAATTGCAGAAGTTGTTTGCTCGCATCAAATATAAGAGGAAATACGTTACAGTTACAAACATAAAAATACATATTAAAAATAAAATGAATATTAGTATAAATACTACACAATTTACATTGAGTGCATGTTTTAAAAGACAATGTATAAAGTCAACAGACTTTACAGAGAATAGGACGAAGACTGTAGAATGTAGGAAGGAGAATGTTGCGTGGATTTTAAAATCAAACCATAAATAAATTTAATCAAATTTGCAATGAACCGAAAACAATAACGTCTCTCTGATTATTTAAAAGCACTAATGTCAAATAAATAAACTTGAATAATTATGCTCAAATAATTACGAGACAGGTATAATTATTAAAAGAAGGGAAATACAATCTGCCATTAGTCATTATAGAATATAGATAGAATAAAGAATAAATTGGTATGCAGTTGGCCTAATACAATACAAAAACTTGAAATCCGTTGATTCAAATTATCTTCGCGTTAATCGCTCTCTATTCTCCCAAACTTTAATTCCACGAGAAATTATAATTCCTCGCCGCCAGCTAGTTCACGAAGATTCGATATGCGATATCATTTAAGTTTCATCCCCAAATGGAGAGGAGGATCGTGCATTCTGAAAATCTCGGTACCGTGAATTCATAAAACGGTTGAACTAGACGACAACCGTTCGACAAATCGATAAATATTTGCAAAGTAAGTTAAGAATACACGATTTCCAGAGCCGCAACTGGCAGCAGATACCTAATGCATACAACAATGGCCAACAATCTATAGCTGAGCAAACACCTGAGGCTCGAATTTAAAACTTTAAGTTTTATTCACTCGGGATTTCACTAGCATTCCACTTTAATGATCATACCCTCGATTCATGTATCAAACTATATCCGCCTCTCCACCCCCACGTGGACGGAGCCGCGAGGGCGATCACTCCAGCGGAGTGAGCACCTCCGGTATTTCGAGCCTCTCTCTCTCTCGCTCTCTCTCACACACACACACGCGCGCGCGCGCGCGCGCGCAATCTCTCTCTCTCTCTCTCTCTCTCTCTCTCTATCTCTTTCTCTCTTTCTCTTTATCTCCACCTCACGTTCGTTGGTAGTGCGCGCGCTGCCGAACTCCCCGGACGTGGTGCGATCGCCCGAGGGAGAGGGAAGCAGTCGTCCGGAGCTCCTGAGACCGCCGGCCTTCTCAGTCACGCTCGACACGCCGCCGTGGGAGGATCGCGCGCGCGCGTTTATACACGCAGACCGTAGACAAGACAAGCTAAAGGGTAAAGAGAAAAGGGAGACGTTTCGCAAGCGTAAAGAGGGCGGCGCGGGCAGGGGAGGGGTGCAATCGGCAAGATATGAGAAAAGAAGTAAACGCGCGCGCCCGGGCTGCCGTTCTTCTTTTTTCGCATCTCGCCAGCATCGCTCACCGGCTGCGCGTTCCTCTGCGATTTTCACTTTCTGCGCGCTCGCGTGTGTCCTGATGCCTGCCTATCTATTCGTATACATGACACGTGCGCGTGCGCGTGCGCGCGTGCACCCGCCGGCCCATCCATGTATACTACGTATAAGTGATCTTGTTTTCCTCGGTGTGTGCCTCAGAGCGATGCCAATCCCTTTCCCTCTCGCGCGAAATTGAGACGCCGACGTCGCGACCGAGGGGCAGCGGCATCCGCCACCCTCGTGACGCCTTCCTTCCTCCTTCTCCTCCACCGTATTCTCCGCCTCCCCCCCTCCCCTCCCCCTCATCATTACTCTCCGCCGCACATGCACCTTTTCACTTTTTGTTTTTCCGTGCCACTGCCTCCTCTGCCCTTCGCGGCGCCTCGTCCTTGACGAGCAAGACTGAATTTTTACGAGCCAAGTGAGGAGCGAGCAGCGAGTGGTCTCGGTGCCGGGACTTTTATATTTATTCAGCGCTCCACTTTGTGTACGCGTAGCACAAGGATTGGGCCACTCGTGCGAGGTTTTTTAAATTCGCTTCCTTACGCTTCCTTACGCTTATTTACCGGCGATGATGGAACGGGAGAAATGCGCCACCGACCGCCTCCACAGCGAGCAGCGTAAGGAACGCTCCCTCGACGATGAGCTGCCGAATAAATTCTTTATTTATGTTTTTATTGCTGCATTTGCCGCCGCGAGGAAAGAAAATCACGATTAGTTACTTGTTTCACGCGGGGGAGTAACGATATTAGCTGGCGATATTAACGCGAGAGTGGGCGATAAAGGGCGCTAAAAAGACCCGTGAGATATCGAGAATTTAAAGTGTTCGGCGCTGATTATAATTCGGTATTCTTGTCAAGCGGCTTCCCATCGTCCGCTCGGACGCTCACGATTCACGCGATCTCAAAACCTCCTCCATTTGCTTTTTCGCGTATATGTACCCCTCGGTCGACCCGCGCCCTCCGCCAATCTCCAGCCCGACCATCCCGTAAAAGCGTGCAGAATTTATGTATTAAGAGGCGCAGGAAAAAAAAAGAAAGAAAGAAAAAAAACGCGCGGCCGGTATTAAAACGCATATTCCTATACGCACGAGTTTCGTGCTTGTACAGTATATGCAATATATTTTTGCCAGTGGTGTTTAGATCCGGCGATATATTGTAGTCCTTTGCCAGACTCGTTCACACACACACACACACACACACACACACACACACACACACACACACACGAACACACCCACACCCACACCCACACGCGCGCGCGCGCGCGCACACACACACACACACACATCCACGCACATCCACGCACGCACACGCACGCACACGCACGCACCAAAAATAAGACGAGAAGGAGAAGAAGAAGGAGAGGAGAGGAGAAGAGAAGAAAAGGCAAAGGCATAAGAGGACGATACTGCTAAGACAGAGACCCCCGGAACGCATTTTCGAGAAGGAGCGAAGCGAGACTTATTCTTCCTTTTAGCGTGAGTACCTGCCTACGAATATCCGATGCGCAAAGTAATGCGCGTACTCGTGTAAATTCTCCCACCTACATGTGTATGTGTATTATGAGCAAGTTTGACTGTCTTGAAAATCTTAAAAATTGCGAATTCGCAATCCGCCGATTAATTGGCTTTATAAATATCTGCAACATTCGTATTACGGTAAGTGGCAGTAGAGTGTGCCCAGTCAATACAATGTATGCCCAGTGGATCGAAACTAATGGGTAGAAGATTTAAAAGTAGCATAGTAGAACAGAATCTTACGGAATACTCGAGACTATGAATGAAAGTTCAAATTTTATAGTTTAGGCCGACAGAGCGCTCATGTATTATCGCTTATAGTAGTAGTTCTTGATGATGAATCCAGCTAATGAATCTTAGTAGGAGCTAATACAATTTAGCATATTGCAAAAGTATTTGTGACAAACCGTTAAAATACATTAACAATTGATCGCTCTTAGTCATACGATTATATTTATGATCATGATAAACTAAGATAAAAGAAAATTGGACATTCCGGCATTACACTTACTTATGTTGTAATTTATAATGATATCTTATAAAGTCGTGAGAAATAAAAATTTAAATTTTCAACATTACTTAGCTCTTGAAAGATATCTCGTCTGGTTTAACATAGACAAGTAACGTAAGTCTTTAAATGCCTACAAGACGTAAGCGTAATCCTTAAGACATCTTGATTAATATTGTGCCTGTATGGACTAATTAATTGTTCAATAACTTTGATACAATTCTAATAAAATTTGACTGCTTTTGTTCCGATTATGTTAATGCTATATGTTGAAATTTCATATTTAATCATAGAAATAATGTCACAATTACATTAATAAATTAATCGTTATTTAAAAATAATATGGAGAAAATAATAATTAGAAAATGACGATAATTCATATAAGATTAAGTAATATATATATATATATATATATATATATATATATACACACAGAAAAACAATAGTATATGTTTTATAGAGTGAAATAATTAATAAATAATTAGAAAAATTTCAATATCCGACGATTATTATGCCGTAGATTGAAATTTTATATAAATACGCGCTATTGTAATGTCATGGTTTTTACATTAAAAGAGAGAATTATAATTAGAATTTTTAATAATGCTATTGTATTACCGTGTACTTTGCCTTTCTTATTACTTAATAAATTAAAAAGTACAATTTTTATCTTTTAACGACATCGGATTTCTAACCGATTAAACAATCTTAGTATGAAATACATATCGATATTCCAATTTCCTTTCCAAGTTTGTTATTGCGTATCGTTTTACCAAAAAATTATATTCTGTTAATACGATCGAAAGTAATGACAATAATTGTTGATTGTAATACCAAGAGGGAAACATTGTCTTTCGTCACATTAATAAATATATCTAATCGTAATAATAATATAAGTATACTTTGTCGCTATCCACGCCCAACTGTCGTAATCGAAAATATAGTCTCTTACTTCAATAATACACTCGTAATTTTCGAATAAAGAATAATTCACTCGCTATTGTCTATTTTACGTACGTTGAGCTAAAGTGTGACTACCCTATAATACGATTAGAGCCGACTTAAAGAGAGCGAGATAGATAGATAGATAGATAGATCGAGATAGATAGATCGAGAGAGAGAGAGAGAGAGAGAGAGAGAGAGAGATGTAAAGTCCGGCCGAGTGTCAGTCTTTATTTTTACTTTTTCGTGGTAATGCGATACTGTACTCTTTAAATAAGGTGTGCATTGGTCGATTCAAGGACAAGAATGTCTTTCCTCTTTTTCTACAACAGCAACGACGACCCCCGAGGCTATATTTTACGCCTTTTTTTTAGAAGATGGTTGCCCTCTGCTATATCTTGTCAGTCTCCACTTTACCGACAATAAAATTCCATTTTTTCGTTTAATTTATTTCTTCCGAATGATATTTAATATAAATTAAATGAAAAGAGCGAGAATTCTAATATGAGAAGAGCGATAAGAAATATATGTTTTCAAAGTATGATGGGCGGATTATCGGAACTTTCATTCTAAAATTTTTTGTCTCTTTCTTAATGTCAGATCGTAATCGTAAATTGATACATTGTGGCGATCTATGCATAATTTGTTATTAAAAAATATCTCATCTCATTTGCAATTAAGTATTATGTAAGAAAATCTGTAAAAGCTTTGTCGATATATTCGAGAGAAAATCTGTAAAAGCTTTGTCGTTTAAACGAAACAAAAAAAAAAAAAAAAAAAAAAAAAAAAAAAAAAAAAAAAAAAGAAAAAAAGAAAAATGAAAAAAAAAACAGAAAAGAAGCAATCGTGTCGGCGACTTGAAATTTCAAGAATAAATTCGCTGCCATTGTTTGTTTACATTATGTGAATTACGATCTCTATTATCATAACACCGTTTGGCCCGTCTTTCACTAAATACTTTTTAAAGTTGGTAAAAATATGAAAATAAATAAATAATACGCATTTTTCAATACTTCAGTCGGTAGAGTTTAAATTTTTTAAAATTTTAAATTATGAATATTATATTCTGCAATTTAAGTGCAATGGAACATTGAAATTTATTTAATGCTATATACGTTCATCCTACCTCGAATGATAAAATAATTCTCGGGATATGTTTATATATTATGTTCAATACTCGTAATCAAATGTACAATTCGTAAAATTACAAATACAGGATTGTAAATAATGCCATTGATATGTAAAATATCACAAGTGCAAATCGAAAACTCTACGCTCAAACTGTAAAAAATTTAAATTCAAATAAAGAACGTTGAATCAATGAGGTCAACAATACGACCTCTTATTGTTATTAAATTTAAATCTCTCTCATCATTCTCTTACATTACTTTTTAATCATAAAATACACAGAGATTCTCGCACTCTGAAATAATAATGTCTTGCAAGTAAAATGAAATCGAGGGCTCGCATTATTATCGTTTAATTCAATGTGACTGACTAATAGAAAGAAGAAGACAAAAAAAAAAAAAAACTGCGATCCGCCACATAAAGGCTTACCCACAGAGAATGAACACCTAACCTTAATTTCATCTCGAGAGTATTACTTTCTCAACGCTTGATATAGCAAATTTACGACAATATTTCTCTGACGAATTGTGCCGGAGGCGATAATGTTTGGAAAAACACCACGTATCTTACTAATTACCCGAATAAATCACATACAATCCAATAGATTGTAGTAATAACAGGGCAGAAAATCATCAGCCGCGGTACTTTCGCTTTTAGCTTCGTGAAAATCGACGCTCCTGCCCGCGAGTATCCCATAGCGATATTAAGCCCCGTACATATTAGCACGGTGGTAGTATACGATGGTAGTAGGAGGCCCCGTCGACTCCTTGGTTGCAGACGGTCGCATTGATTTCCTCGTCTCGCGCGCGCACAGCTCGAGCTCCAGACTGCGAGATAAAGCGCCGCGGTCGCTTCCTCCATCTGCAAAGCGATGTATCGTTTCCGATAAAAGCCAAGTCGGGGTATCGCTGACACGCAAGGTCGTACTACGCGTGCGGATCCTATCAGGACGAAAAATGAGAAACGGGAAGCTTAGTAATTTCGTAGTTCGTTCGTTATCTCTCGCAACACACGCACGCACACACGCACGCACACGCACGCACTCTCTCTCTCGCTCTGTCTCCCCCCTCTCCCTCTCTTCATCTCACCATCTCTCCCTCTCACCCTCCATTCCTCCCTTCCTCTCATAAGGATCAACTGGACACTTTCCAACGAGGCATGCCCTCTTTATTTGTACAAATAGGAAGTATCGGCGCTAAAATAATATGCACAAGTATTCTCAAATACTTCTCGTTATTCTGGATCCTATTTTTGCAGTTTATTTCCAACATTAATTTATCTTTCTGTTAATAAAAGCTGTTTCAACCTTTACTCGCTTCACGTACCTCATATGCAAATAAATATTTTTTTCTCTTTTCTTCTTTTTCAATTTTATAACTTTTAATGTTAAAAATATCAGACATGTTATTGAGAAAAATAAAAACAGAAATGAAACTTCTATATATAATTATGACTATAGTTTATCGATTATTATATATTGTTGTTTAAAATTGTAACAAATACTATAATTTACTAGTTAGATAGTATTTTGGTAACATAGTAAAGAAATTTGGAACTTTTACGTATTCTTGGCAGGTCGTTTATGTCTTAGAGCACAAGTTCTCTTATATACATCTAATAAAAACTTTTACATTCAGACTTATAAATGTTTTAGACATCGTAAAATTTCTAATTAAATATATACCATTATTATTCGCATATTTCGAACATATTTGAATATATATCTATCTATATCTATATCTATCTATCTATCTATCTATATATCTTTATCTATATATATATATATATATATATATATATATATATATATATATATAAGAGACTTGACTAATCAAGCGATTATATGGCGCTAAAAATATACGTGCATTTCCTTTGCGTGTATTTCTAGCGATGCGGGGCAATATGAGCAAGAGGGAGAGAGGAAAATATGCAGTTCACGATGCAACCGATTGCATTCTCCGAAGATAGAGTACATGCATGCACCGGTTTTGGCCACTGCTCCAACTGATCGAGTTTTTGTGCATGATGAGATTTAACGCAACAGTGATCTATCGATAAATAATTTATTGCGTTTCCTTTAGCAAAATTTTTTCGGGCGACTATAATGCACGTACTATTTATTCGATAATTATTTCAACTTCGCAATGTTGAAATCCTTAAGTGATTAAGGATTAATTTAATTTTAAATATAAACCTTATTTTCATTCAATCGTTCTCCGAACGAAACAATTAAACATAAAACAAAAAAATAAAAAAAGGGAAGAAAAAGCTCTATGATTATCGACGTCTAATACTTTAAGAACATATAAATGCTTATCATTGCAATATAATTTTTACATATAAATATTTACGCACCATTATAAATGTTGCCCTAAACAATGTC